ATAGTATAATTATATACTGTGTAAGGGGTCCACATTCAGATCCAGAAAAACGGGTAAGCAGGGCACGAGGCATATGGCAATATGCAGCAGTGTGTAGGCAGATGTGCATACATATTACATAGTGTCAGTGGCCCAGTGCCATTGCTGAGCACGGAGGTGCCGGAAGACAGACACCTTGAAACTTTGCAGCCATTTCTTGTCAGGTGGCTGGCTGAGGACGGCGGGTGGTAGGGCATTCCATACAGGGACAGCACAGGCGGGGAAGGCTCTACGGCAACTTTCCCGGCTGTTGACAGGTAGCCCTGTCTCAAGCTGGTAGGTATGCATGTCGCGACGGACGAGAGAGAGACGAGTGGGTCGAACATGGGCTGGTCGGGGGGCTTGAGGGGGAGGCAAGAGCTGACGAAGTAGGCTGGTAAGATTGGAGCACAGTACCTTGTAAATGTAGGTGCAAGCAGCTACCATGCGCCGGACAGACAGGCTTTGCAGCATTGCGCCGGGGCCCATCAAGTGGAGGGTTGAGCGTTGCGTCTGGTCAAGTCGCTGCAAGTGACAATCTGCTGCGCCCATCCAGACCAATGGGCAGTACTCCATTACTGGTCGCACAAACCCACGGTACACTGTAGCTCGGCTCCGAGAATCTAGGAGCGGCGAGGCCTTCCGCAGGAGCCCGAGACTCTGGCGTGCTCTGATGGCGACGGTACGGAGGTGGTTGCGGTGGGAAAGTTGGCTGTCCAAGGTTACCCCAAGAAGCTTGAGGTTACTCTCTCCATTCAGGGGTACACCCGCAAACTGTACTGCTGGGAGGTCCCAGGCGGGGCGGTGATGGTCAATAGCCATGGCCTGGGACTTTGCTGGCTCGAACGCAATTCTCCAGCTGGTGCCCCAATTCGCAAGGGCATCGAGGGCATTTTTGCAGGACTGTCGAGCTGTGGTCAATGGTATCCATGGTGGACAGGCACTGAAACAGCGTTGTGTCGTCAGCATAAGCGGCCATATCTACGCCTGGTGGAAGGTGGTCATCGGCATCGTTCGTGTAGAGGAGGAACAGTGTCGGTCCCAACAAGCTACCTTGCGGAACTCCGGCTGTGATGCGGTGTGGGCTGGACGACTGCCCACCAACGACGACACTCAGGCGCCTGTCCAGCAGGTAGTCCTTCAACCATGCAAGGAGCATGCCGGATACACCGTACTGCTGGGCTTTGTGGATCAAACCTGGGTGGGAGGCTCGATCGAACGCGCCAGCGATATCTACAGCAACAACTCGTACAGCTCTGAAAGGGAACTATGGTGTTCGAATACTTATGATAACATTGTGTATGCATTTACAATTATTATTCACGATTTGCTGGAGTTACTTACGTGGTTTGTTATATTCTTGCTCAGTGAAGTCCCTCTGCAGAATAACTCTACGATGTGTCACTATCTGACAGGGTTTACTGTCACCCCGTATCGGGTGCAAGCACCCACTGACAGATCAAACACTTTTCTTTCCTCATCTTTGATCTTTCTGTCTTCGTCCTGCTCACTACTGTTTGTCGTTCGAATTTCTGATTTATTTATTTATTTTGCTTCTGCATTTCTGCATTTGTTTTGCACCATGTTTTCCATGGATACGCGGGCTGTGCGCAGCAGCGCACCTTTCTGGGGAGACTGGTATCGTTTTAGGTTGCGTCCCGCTACCCTTATTTGTTGCGTGTAGTACGCTGGTCTCGTTTGTGCTGCACTTGTACGCGCACGTTTTGCCAGGGACAGCGGTTTGGCATTCGCTCCTCTTGGCGCAGCCAGTTCTCTCTCGCGTCTCTCTCATTTTTCTCTCTCCTTTCAACCATGCATAATTTGTTCCTTATCTGAAAAGGCTGTGATCTTTTGTGTGACGGTGTGCACGGGGTGCATGACTGAGTGCCTGGGAAGGTTTAGATAACAAAGTGGTGCCGAAGGGGTGCATGACTGAGTGCCTGGGAAGGTTTAGATAACAGCTCCGCCCCCTGCAGCCACGGTACTCCAACGATGGTGTAGTAGGGTAAGGAGGTCCTGCGTTCCCAGGCCGGAGCGGAAGCCGTACTGGTTAGTGGTGAGGATGTGCTGGCGCTCAAGGAATCCCATAAGGCTGCGATTGATGATAGCTTCCATGACCTTTGACAGTATTGGCAGCAGGGATATGGGCGGGTAGTTCTTTGTTGCGGACTTCGAACCCTTCTTGTGTACAGGTACTACTGAGGCAAGCTTCCACAGTGACGGTTGCCGGCCTTGACGGAATGCTTTGCTGAAAAGCTGGGCCACAGGCCTGCACAGTTCCTCACAGCACTGCTTCAACACTCGTCCTGGTACCCCATCCGAGCCAGTGGCTTTGGACTATCGACGTAATCCTAGCCCGTCCCAAAACAGTAGCGATGTGCCATGTCATTCAGTGCACCATCAGTGACCACTTTGCAGTTCTTGCCAAACTGGACATTTCCGTGCCCAAGCAGTCGACCAGTAAGCCCTCTACATCCACCCGAAATCTCCGCAACATCAATAGAAACGCCTTCCGAAATGACCTTACTGCCGCAAACTTGTATACTTTTCCTGCTCCGGCTAACGTGGATGAAATGTGGCAAGAATGGCATTCAAAGTTTATAACTGTTCTAGATCGTCATGCTCCATTTACTTGCAAGGGAAGCCGGAAACGCCCAAGCGAACCACCGCGGTCGGACAGAGAGCTGTATCAACTTACTATGCGGAAGAACAGGCTGCACAAGCGCTGGCTATCGGACAAAACTTGCCAGCAGGCCTACTCAGCATTCAAACAGGCCCGGTCCGCTGCAGCAAATGCCTACAGGCGTAAACGGAATGAGTTCTTTCGAAACAAGTGCGCGGATAACACGGGAAACCCTCGTCAGCTATGGTCGGTCATAAACTCTGTTACCGGTCGAAAGCGGAAACATCAGGAGCCATCGTGTGGTGTGGAGGCGATTACGTCTGTTTTCGAGACTGTCGTCACGGACACAACGCGGCCATCCGAACTACTCCTGCCTGCCGGACCCCCTGCAGAGCATTCCTTAGTGTCCTTTCCACCCGTCACAGTGGGTGCTGTGGAGCGCTTGCTGCAGCAAGTCAACCCGGCCAAAGCTACTGGAAGTGATGGAATCCCGGCTCTTTTGATCAAGTATTGTGCTGATATATTAGCTTCATCTCTTACGGCATTATTTAATGCATCCTTATCCAGTGACGGACAAGCAGCAGGCGGATGGCCCAATGCATGACCTAAGCTGGAGTTGGTAGGCAATACGACGGCTGCAGCAGATTCCAACTGCTCTACCCGCTCCACCAGGGGCTGGATGACCTGGTCGATGGCCTGAGAAAGAGCCGAAGCAAGTGCATCAGGGGCCACATTCAAGGTGGTGGCAGAATAAACTGACGGCGCAACGTCGGAGACAACAGAGTCCGAGCGGGGAGATAATGGAGTCCTGGGTGGTTGACGACAAACAGGACTTCGCCTTACTCGCACATTACTTCCTGCATCCGAGGTTTGAGCTGCCGCCCTGGCCGATGGCGTCTTTTTTTCTGGTCGAAAAACTCGCCATCGTGAGAATAAATACTAAAATACTCAAACTATAAACTCTAACAAGACCCGTAGTCTGTCTGACAGGTCTGAGCTCAGAAAGAAAAAGGAAAGCTAATACTAAGAATGGCAAGATGGCAGAGGATCGGCAGTACAAGGACTGACACTCTGAAGCAGAACGGAGTGCCAACAGAATTTCAGAATTTGACAGCTGTATGCAGGCAAGGAAAATGGAAAGGACAGCAAGCTCTGTTGTGCACACGGGAAATCTGCACATGCGCAGAGCATGCGAGCATGTGATGTCTATGATACACAGCAGTATGTAGAGAGCGAGCAAGATTGTGCACACACACGTAAAGAGAGTCATGCAATCAACAGCGGAGCACTGGTACGTGACTGTTAACAACAGTTAACTCATACGAACATGTAGACCCTCCACACACGAGGTGCAGCCCATGAAATGGATAGAGTCTTGATGCCCACGCATGAAGTGAGATGTCTGTTAGGGGGCAGGAGTGTGGGCGACGGCCGTGATAGATTGCCAGATGAGAGGAGATAGCTGGCCCAGTACTCCTATTAATATTGTATATGTAACACCGAAGTGATACTTAAACAAATGGAGAGGAGGCAATAATTTGATAACCACAATCAATAAGACAAGCTGAATCTATCTCTTCATATCTTCATCGTTTTATTGCACATTGTCTCCACCGTTTTACATTGCATGAATAAAGAATACACAAATGTCTATTCAGCTTGTCTTATTGATTGCAGTTTTCGAAGTGATACTGATATCTATTTTTGTGCCTTATGAATTATGATACCTGTGTTGAACCAAGGATATCAATATTAATCATAGATGGGGTGAGGCGGGTGGGTGAGAAAGGAGAAAACTTGTGTTCTTCCCATGACCCAAGCAAGGCAAAAATCAAAGTAGCAAAGCAGCCAGCGCGAAGTATAGTGTATGCGTTACGGTTTCAACCTCCGATGTGTACTGCAGCCGCATATGGCTGGTTGGCTGGAGAGTTCAGGTGTACGCGTGTTGCATACAACCGAGGCGTGCATGTAAGTGTCGCTTGACATGCATCAACGAATAGCGTGGGATCTGCGGGCTCTCTGAAAGCCGCTGGAGCGCGTGTGAAGTGATGGTTTGTGCAATGTGTTAACCTACATTACTGCAAGCTCTAATGTGCTGTTAACGTATTGTATGTACTAGTATCCATCAAGTTTGGATGGCCAAAAATTGAACATCTGACGTGTAGCTTACACTCAGAATGTCAAAAAGATATATAAATTTTGAAACCAATATGGGGGGGGGGTGCGGCTAACACCCCGGAAAATACGGTACATGCTTTTGATACAACATGCAGCCCATGCAAGCTAGTCTGCTCCCCATCCCCTCCCCCCCCCCCCCCCCCCCTCTCCAACCAGCCTAAAAACGACAAGCGCCACTTACGGAAACACGTTGATATAACAGTTGTCGACCAGTTACCATCCAACTTGCAAAACACTGATCTTCCAGTCACACTTTGGTTTCCGACCCCACTAATGAAGTATCCTGGATTACATTGATAAGTGATGTTGTTCGGGTAGGCTGTGCCGTACGCAGTGATGACACCGTTGGCAATGGTATTCGGACGGCTTGCACATACTTGGCGAGCGAGAATAGGCACAGAATCAAAACAGCAATAACGCAATCTTAGATCATTGTTTCCGAGGCATGGGTATTCATTAGATTATAAGAGAAGACTCACAGTGGATGAAAGTGAGCACGGCACAGCGGATGTACTGGGGGAAGGGCACATTAGATATAACGGAACATGGGATAGTGGATGTAGGTGTAAAGGTCACAGTGGATGTGGGGGCATGGCAAAGTGGATGCAGCCTGCCGGAAGGTGGGCGAAGTTGGTCCGGTGTACGGGGCGGGGGGGGGGGGGGGGGGGGGGGAGGGAATGATATGAGTGACATCCGAAACTGCATTATAACAAAAACTATTACCGTATTTCAGCGCATATAAAGCCATGGCGTTATAGGTGAAACATCGCTGTTTTGGACCAAATTTTTACAGAAAATAGCCTCGGATTTAACGCCATGGCGCTAAAAGTGAGAGATGCGTACATGCAAACAATACGGCAGAGTATGAACTTCGAGTACTCGTACAGTGCCGTAGCACGTTCATGTCCAGGATCCATGTACTTTCAATTTTCCCTGAAAATTTCAAATTGTGAACCTATTGTGTACAAGGTGGCATGTGACAGTGGGGATGGGTACATGCAGAGAGAATCACCGCCACTGTAGGTTCACTGAAAGAACTGAACTCACCTTTGACGCCAGATGCAAATTCCTCCACATTGAATTTTGTTCACTTATAACGCCATGGCTATATAAGTGAGGGTGGCCTTATGTTCGGATATAACGCCTTGGCTTTATATGCGCGGAAATACGGTATTAATAAGTGTTAGCATGCTAACACCAGTTACCAGCCAAGCCAGCCAGCGAGCCCGATTTGCGTGCGCTAGTCACGCGAGCATGCGCCCTTTACGGTCCTGCGCAAGGTCTCTTTTGTTGTCATTGCTATTTTGACTTTCGAACTTGCAAATAACTACTTGCAGAACAATTTCTTTGTCAATATTTTTTTCGCAAACAGAGCAGCACTCTGGTCTTGACGTTTGAAGCCGATGTAAATATGCTGTGCTACCTCTTACCTCTTTTCTACCGGCTTGGCCCGTCACCCTGAGCTCCGCTGATGAGACCTGACAAGGTCAAAACAGCCAGCTGTTTTGAGCATTGGCTTACTGAGTATCCATTTATCTCTTGTCCGAGTTTGGTGCTTTCCTGATAAGTACGATATTCTACCTTGTCCAATTGTCTTCCAATAAAATGATATGCAAGCGTCACGCGAAATTAAACATCTATGAGCGACATCCACAGAACCTGCTGGGAGAGTAAGCGTGTACTCGAGTCTCATCCTGAGCACGTTTTTTCTTCTTTTTTCAGCTCCAGTATAGCTGTATTTTTCATTGCAAAGCCGTCCTCGATTGTTAGCCCGACTGCTGCATGGACGATAAGTGCTGCGAATAGTGATCATGTACCCTGGCCTGAGTAGCTTGCTTGTTAGCCCACCTGGGCCACGTTATGTTGCTAGTGCATGTACCACCCCAGTCACAGAGCACAAGTAACTAGTTGGTTGAGTTTGGCCGTCAGGAAGCCAGGGCAACGCCAAGGTATCCGGGGCGCGGGTCTGATTCCAGCGAGGGGCAATTCTGTACCCCGCAGCACAAGGGTAGCGTGATTTTTTTTTCAAGGGTAGCGTGACACTCTGCGCCAACGTGCGCGCTGCATGAGTACTCGAGTAGCGTGATACTCGCCTAGCGCTTTTGCTGTTGCCTAGCAACGCGTTTCTGTCTTTCCTGGGCCCCCAAATGCATGTCGGGTGGCCCTGCGCATGACTGCACGCTGTCATAGCAACCTTGAAAATCTCAAGCCGGTTACCAACAAGCTAGGAATCAGACCAAGCCACCGAATGCCCCCAAATAATTCCGCGTTGGTGAGCTGAACGACCTTAGTGTGGTACTCAAGCGTTTCAGCTACCTGTACATGTATGTAGTTATTGTTAGATTGACAGCATGAAACAATATAATGTATGTAGTTCTAAAGTGTGCCATTCGTATGTTTTTATTCCCTTAGTGACACTGATAAGGGTTCGAGAGGCATGTAGTGGGCAAAAAGCAATGGGTGGCATGATGCCATAGGTGAGAGCAATAGCAAAGCAACTGAGTGGAGCAGATAGCATATCACAAGTATTAGAAGCGTGTGTGCACCATGCTAGAACGTGAGTGCATGCATGCGAGAGTGGGCGTACCAGCATGTGCGCAGCGTGTGTACAGTCAAATCTGCCGTTAGCGACCTCTGCTGTAGGCGACCATCTACTGTTAGCGACCGATTTTCCATGCACCGACGGTTTCACATACAAATTGATCTGTCCAGAGCGACCATCTGCTGTGCGCGACCAGCGACCGCGATTTCATGCATGGTCGCTGCATTCAAATCTGCTGTAGGCGATCGCGACCCAGGTTCAGTCAGGTGTGAAACTGTACTTGCCAGTGCGCTGTCAACTGCAAGGTGTGAAAATGTGCTGTCTAAAGTGTCTTGCAAGTGCGATCGACTGGCCCTGGCCTGTACTGAGGCTGCGCTGTCCGTTACTTGAACAGGGAAGCCTTGACAGCTGGCTGAACATGTTAGCCCTGGTATGTGCACTATTCTTGGGTTTCTGCACCCCTACTGAATATCCAATAAAATGATATTAAAAATCACGTTATTCTCGTCGATTTGAGTACCGTATTTTTCCGGTTGTAAGTCGACCTTTTACGACTTAAAATAGAAGGAGAAAGGGTGGGGGTCGACTTACAACCGGGATTCGACTTATAACCGGGAACTATCAGAATCTTACAAAAAATGACCTGCACTGCATGCACGAGTGCACTATGTGTACACATTTTTTCCAGTTTATTGGTCTTTTCAAGGATTGGAATGTTATAACCTCCAATAAGGAATGTTTACATGATTTGTTGATGTGTTAATAGCAGGGAGTGGTTAGTAGTGCTTCTTTGGGTGAAAACTTGAAAACGCAGAATTGAGACCTCCGGATACGGGGGTCGACCTATAACCGGGGTCGACTTACAACCGGTAAAATACGGTACATGGAAGCATAATATGCATACCGGATTTACCATACATCTGCCGTAAGAGACCATCTGCCGTAGGCCTTGACAGATTATGCTAATATTTTCGTGAAATTATGCTTTTCGCATTGCTGAAAAAATTGCAGAATTATGCTATTTTATGCTAAACGTTATCATATTATGCCGCATTATGCTCACATATGCTGCTAATGTATAATGGTTCTGTGCAAAATAACAGGGGAATTTTTTTGTAGAGGACGTTGTACTGTAGGAGCAAAAGTTCAACGGGGTCAACGCACCGTCCGACCTAGCTACGACCGTCACTGATTGTAGTGGACTGGACATGTTCTCAAGGGAGTCGTAAACCTACGACTTCCTGGTGCATCTACTTGTACTTGTATTTGTAGAACATGTATGGAATTATGAAATTATGGAATTGATACTTGATATTTATTATTTAAGGGTAGCCCTTTCCCAAAGATGTTCGCCACTTTTTTCGCAACTTTTCGTTGTTTAGGAAGAAATCGCAACCTTCGCAACTTTCGCAACTTTCTTCATTTTCGCGAACTATTTCGCAACTTTTTCGCAACCTTAGCGCAATTGGCGCCATGGCATGGGGTCAAACGGTCAAGTCACTGACTCACCGACTACATGTCGGACAAATGCAAACTCGTACTCGCTCATTTCTCGCCTGCCTTCAGACTGATTTCAGAGAAACAGAAGATCAACGGTAGTTCTGATAATGTGCACTGAAGTAATAGTTCCCTTTTCCTTGCACTAGAATGATTTACATGTAGGATACATGCAAAAGGCTACTGGCACTGTGTAAAGTGGTGGTTCACCGCAGGAGGGGGTGTAGATCTACGAGTTTGCAGTCGATGCACCGTAAGTAGTTCTGCTATTTCTACTCCCTTTTGTGTAGTTTTTTGCACTAGAACTCTCCAATTCTAGGTTGCGATATTAGCAACTTTTAAGCTTTTTCTGAAAATATGGATGCGATTTCAGCAACTAGCACTTGTTTTGGCACGGTTGCGAAAAGCATAAGTTGCGAAAAAGTATGGCATCTTTGGGAAAGGGCTATCGGGGGGATCTCCTAAAAGTGAAAATGATCATTGATTTATATACTACAGTCCGTTTCAAAAAGATTTGCAATCCTGGCGATCGCCCGCGGAGTTTGGCGTCTTACCGTATGAGCACTCGAGCGCTGCCTGGAAAAACTCACTGTGAACTCGAAGAAATATTCCGCGCGAAAGCAGGAAAAATGACAACTCACTCACGTTGATACAGTCATTTACGTCTGGTTTACAACAAACGAGTTCTTCCTCGTATCGATAAAATCGGTTGTGGCAACAAACGCGATTAGGCCGGCTGCAAGGACGCCGTAATGTCGCACTCGCCCCAGCACCATTCAAACAATTCCCTTTGAAAGGCTTTGGCAGTTCACGGCACGAACTTCAACAAAGCCCCGTGAATGCGTACCAGGGGAAGGCTAGACAGCATGTCTCTAGACATCAATAGGCATCGTATGAAAAGCCAGTCAATAGCACTAAAGAGCGAAAGCCTTTGTCACGGTTCGGTTTCACTCGCGCACCGGGCCCGAGCTGGCAGCACAAACAAACGCCGGACGCGAGCTGGCAGCACAAAAAAACGCCGTACTCACACGAGCGTTGGGCAAACGGATGGCCACAGCCATCAAAAACAGGAACAAACCCATCCACGGCTCTTTCTCTTGCTAGCTGTGCTGCTGCGTGCATCCAACTGTTTTGCAATTTCTCCCTCCCACCCACGCCTCCTGGTATTTATTATCGCTCTACACTATCCTACGTCTCACAATGAGTGCCACTCAGCATGATGGTACTCCAAGCTACATTGTATTTGATCTGTCCTAGCTCACTATTCTGGACAAAATATTAATTCAATTGCAATGAAGCGCCGGGGGCCGGCGGGGGCATTCGGCGGCTTGGTCTGA